GTGGATGCGCACTGTTGAGGAGTCCCATAATAGGACGAAACGGCCGTTCAGTGCTTCCAGGTTTTTCGATGGTGGTCTAGCTTCAATTGACTCATGATTTCAACTGTGAAGATAGAGTTATTATCAGTTAAGGTGTAATTTTGTAAACCAGTAGGAACTGGATAGCTGTCTCAATGTGTTTAATATGGGAATTTTATACCATTCAACCCTGACTACACAAGATAATAAACGTATAACTCTTAGATCATCCAGAGAGAGCTAGGTTATTGGACCATTGCCTTGACATACAATAAAACCCATATCTCATTTTCTTCACTTTGGTACATGATTGAACTGCCATCTAAAACAATTGGTGATGACTTTTTCACTCCTGACATAGACAAACTATACCAGGTTTCTTATTCCCAATAAAATTCTGGAAATTAATCTCTAAAATTCAAATATTGTCTGCGTCACATAGTGACTTTAGAAGATCATCGAGCAGTGGATAGCTATACAGCAATAAAAACTCACAACCACCCTGGGAGTTGAGTACAGGACCTTTAAGTCTAGTCTGTTACTTTAAAGTCAGTGAGATGATAACTAAAGGTTTATATTATTAACTTTAATTAATGTGCGGTATAACTTAATGGTCATGCAACTCACAAAGTTCTAGATTACAGAGTTACAAATTTATGGGTTAACCTTAATGTATTATCTATCAAGGTGTTTTTTTTTTGTAGAAAGCGTTACATTACAACTTAATCGGTAGAATTCAATTACTACCAAGGGTTAGATAAATATCATATTGATTACCATTCAGTAATCAGGAATTGTAAGTATTTCAGTTCTACAAGATGCAAGTTCGTAAATGAATACATCAGTGGTAGATTCTCTTATATTGAAATTAGTTTACATAAGCTCAAATCTCTTGAAGAATATTATTTCTCGGAAGACTACAATCTTACCTTAATAACAATTGTTGACCAACACAAAATCTTAGTCATATAGGACTCCCGATTGACTTCATCTAAATTATTGTTTTCTAGTGAGAAACAGTGATCAGTGAAGTTCAACCAGGTCTGTTGCGAGATAGTAACTCACTGAAGACAATAGTGAATTTATACATTGACACCGTTGGATGCCGATTCAGTGATCTAGAGGTTAATCGCTTACACGCGAGACTGTTAGGTCCTGTGTTCGAATCTCATGAGGCAGGTTGTGGATGCGCACTGCTCAGGAGTCCCACAATAGGACGAAATGACCGTTCAGTGCTTCTAGGTTTTCCATAGTGGTGTAGCTTCAATTGACTCATGATCTATGGAGGCGGTATTCACATATTACAAACAAAATGATTTGTGATTACAATTTGTCAATGAAAATCTGTACACAATTGTATACATTGATGATGTATATCAATGCCTAAGTTTGGAAAAGCATTTCGGTGTTTCATACATGTGACCTACTTGACGTTTTCATCTGAATGTTCAGTGTAAAGCTTTCTGATACCCAGAACACTGTTTTTTTGTATGAATTTATCAATCATACACTAATATAACAGTTTATTACGATACGATATACTACCGTTTCCATAAAAATGGGTTACTAAGTGTTATAACAATCGGGAGTCTCCTCTTCTGACACAGTCTTCAAAACGAGTCACACATCATATCAAGACTCAAATACCTCAATTTGCACCACGAAACATCTAACATGACCAAGATACCAAAGTATGCAGAGATAGAGCACGCACCTCGGAATATGCTTTGAACCAAAATACAATTTTGTTCCCATTTCACTGAATGAGTAAAGAAACAACGATAAGAAGAGTCGACATCGAAAGATCAAAAAGCAACGTCGCTATAAACACTTGGCCACCACAAGTCATTTATAACAATAATCGATTCTCTGGTTCCTAAAAAAAACTTAAATACTTTTATTCATTTGATAAACAATCTATGTAGATATCCTAACACGAATAAGATCGAGAGTAATAATTCAAGGTGTGTGTGTGTGTGACTGTGTGTGTGTATCTTTCGTGCACCAAAGATTTTAATCACAACAAAAAGAAAATGGGTTGAATAGTGCTTCCTGGATTTAAACTTTCCTCTAGTTCCTATCATTGTTTGAAAGAGTAAATCTCTTAGAAACGGAATAAATTTTCTTCTCTGAAAGTGACAAATAGGATCCAATGCATCTTACATGCTTAAAGTATTCCTTCTAGTTGTTTTCAATTTATCAGTCCAATACATACACTTAGTTCTCTCTAATAACAACTAATAATGTAGTAAAAATAAGTCCAGCTAATCTTTTCCTACCCAGGACAGAGTGGGTTGAAGAATGCTAGTCGGCGGCCTATGCTCCATTGGGAGTAACAGGCGTAAGTAAGTAAGCAAGCAAGTAAGTAAGTAAGTAAGTAAGTAAGTAAGTAAGTAAGTAAGTAAGTAAGTAAGAAAGTAAGTAAGTAAGTAAGTAAGTAAGATCTTTTCCTAGGAGATATATTCATCGTTAAACATGAAAAGATCAAACTTTTAAAGGTGGGATTGACAAAAGAGTGTATTATGTGAGGTATGCTGAAGAACCTTCTATTGCAATATAATGATGAAACTATAGGCAATATCCAGTTTACAATGGGATATGAAAAAGATGATAAATTTCACTTTCTCAATATCACCATACAAGGAGGAAGGATGGTATAGTTTGATATTCAGTTTGTTGAAAAATATATGAGATAGTACTTATCTGAATATTAATAGCTTTTATAAGTAAAGATAGATAGTGACTAGCAGTAGAATCCGGGACGCGAGTTTCGTCCTATTTGGGACTCGTCAGCTGGATTTACCTGTATCACAGAGTTGATGTTCACTTTGGGACTCAAACTTAGTTCCGTTCGCTTCAAACGCCATCTCATTATCCACTTAGCTACTGAGTCCTGATAGCCACCTGCTTGTGCAATAGGGTGACGAAACGTACGTCCTGAATTTCACTGCTAGTCACTATCCATCTTTGCTCATAAAGCTTGTGACTTCAGACAATATCAAGGCAATCCGCACAGGGTGCACATATGCCAAGAAGAGATTGATCAATTGCAGTCCTAAATAACAATGGTAAGATGCAAGTAAACAACACCAAGTGAAGAAACCTATTTTCATTCAACTTGTATGACACTATTACAGTTACACAACAAACAAATGATTAAAAACTTCACTAAACGAAAACATTTCCTGCAACCAAACTGATTACCCCATATGAAACTGTGTTCTTTACTCTAGTTAAAGATTAATCGGTACATCTTTTATATTACCATCAATTGTGTATACAAATTCATACGTACCTGTCGAAGCAGTTAAACCGATAGAACAGAAAGTATACGCTAAGTTCGATTCCAAGAATATATCCAAAAACCGTTACAGTTCATTGGGATTAATAGCTTTTAGCAATACTGTTGCTAAACATTAGATTAATAGAATGAAATCTTTCAAGATCGTGAGGAGAAGCAGTCCCACGGTAGCCGGTGACCAATGATTGATTCATACGCTTTTTATTCCTTTAGGATACTGGAACCCATGTGCACCATTGGTTTGAAATGAGGGTTTTCCAACTCCTACGTGTCCATCAACCCGTTTAGAGCGCCGGACATTCGCTTTTCGTCCTCTCAATTTCGTACACAACACCCGTGGTGCGAGAAGGCAGTAAGTAGGACTTCCTTGGCAGAGGCTGTATACGCGTGTCCGTGTAAGAGCATTTCGAGAGAGAGGGCGGGCCCTCCTTACTCTCGGCGGGATTGTATCATCTCTTAAATCTAGAAATTCGCTTTTAACTAATGGATCTTAACTCATGTTATTATTATCCGTGATCAACTTATGTTCGACCACTTTATTACATAATCAAATAATTATCTTAGTTCTGTAATCTCTTGTTACTATGGCAATCCAGAATATTCTCTCACATATTCTGTTTATTCACAGTACTTATTGTATGCGTTTAATCTCATCATTATTCTATCATAATGATGCAAATATATTTTAACTGTCATCAGTAAGTAGACCATGCGATGTTGATTGTGAAACAATATAAGTTGTAAGCAGCTGATGAGAACCTAACGAAATAAAATGTATTCACGTTATTCTATTCAATTCTTTATTCCTGCTTCCGAATATAGTTCCGTCTGAGGATCATACGAAACTAAATCCTTGTCTTAAAATTCTCACTTGATGAAGAATCTCTGGAAGATGTGAAAACATCCATGTGCCTGATCAGCATCATCGATGAACAAGGAAGATCTGATGGAGGTGTGAATGCAAGGATTGGCAAAGTCATCGAAGCAATTGAAGAACATGTAGAACTAAAAACAACTGTCAATAAATCTCAAAGTCACAATCTTTAATACGGACGTTAAGTCAGTTAATTCTACTTTACTCAGCTGAAACTTGAAGAACTACTACAACCATCATCAAAAATGTACACGTATTCAACGCAAGATACTCCAAATCTTAGACCGGACACTATCAGTAAAAACGTACTTTATGAAATATATCAGCTTTCACCTAAAGAAGAAATTAAGAAAACAAGTTCGAAGTGGATAGGATACACATTACAGAAATCATCAAACTGTATCACGAGGCAAGTGCTAACTTAAAATATTAACGAAAAAAGAAAACAGGAAGGCCAAAAAACACAGTGAAACTTAAGCTTATCAAGTGTAAGGAAAGTATCCACTGAAGATGGTTGCACAGTATCTGACTGCAGTAAGACTCGTGCATCATCAAGGCTCTGATCAATGGTCTAGGAGTTAAGGATCTACATACAAGAATGAAGATCCTAAGTTCGATTCCCTATAAAATAGTATTGAATGTACACTTCTATTAAATAAATGAATACCAACTGAAGAGAACTCGAAAAGATTGGGTAAGTCAGAGTTGTATAAAGACATCTAATTGACAACCTTTACTCCTTCACAAGGACTAATAAAACTAAACAAGTAAGATAACAATAAATAATTAAACACTTTTTCTACTTACAGCTAATTTCAATGATAATTCTTTAGATAATATAACACCTTTTTGTATTTCAATTTCAGCTATAGAATGTGTACAACGTTCTGTATGAAAATTATATTCTTGTACATTATCTGTATTATTTTTAAATGTTGTTGAAAACAACACATAAGATTTAGGTAATTTCATTGTTATATAATCATAATATTCTGGTTTATCATGATTTATATGTATATCATCCCATATAAAACGTAGTACTAGTTCAATTGGATCATATTTTTTTTGTTCTTTTGTACTAGTTAAATGATACATATTAATTGACCATAATTTTAAACAATTTGGTAAATCAAATAAATCAGGTTCTTTAGAGGTTAGAGATTGTTTAGATATTGTAGATCTATTCATTCTATGGATGAAATGATTTCAACGAAGATATGGAAGATATGAAACATTCTCATGGAATTTGAATGTTTATATTATTCCTTTAATCCTATTGGTTAATAATTAGAAAATTGAATTGACCAATCAAAATCATTTATTCTGCATATGAATATTGGCAATAAGAATAGTAGTTGCCGTGGTTGTAATAATAGTAGTAGTAGTATTAGTAGTAGTGATATCAGTAGTATGTGTCTGTTTCCATGTTGTTAATATATTTCTGGCTTATCATTGTTGTTTATTTAGGTAGCAATAATATTTCTACATTAGTATGTATGTGTATAGATGTATATGTATGTGTGAGTGTGTTTGTAGATGATTACATTTAGACACCCCCCCGCCATGTTATGTATATTAAATAGATGATAAAGAGGGTGAGTGTTTGTGTGTTTGTGTGTGTGTGATTGTACATTGGTATGATACGATTTGATCAGTTAGTTCCAATTTTTTCGGAGTATATTTTGTCTCTTGTTGTATTTATAACCTAAAGGGACATTTTTAATGTATAATTTAGCTAAGAAAATATCTTCGAAAATTATTATGATTATGGGAATTTATGAAGATTGTAGTATTTTAATAATTGAGTTTACTAGTATACCTAAACTACACTACCATGGACGGCCATTTTGTCCTGATATGGAACTGCTTAGTAGTGTATATCCACGACCTCGTAGGTGGGACTCGAACCCAGGGTCTTAGGTAGCTAACGCGAATGATTAACCTCTAGATGATTAAACTGGAATCTAACGTTGGTAATGTTTAAACATAATTAATTTATGATTATGTGAAATCCTTCATCCATTGTGTGGGATGGATAACTGTCTCATACCCGACACAGATTAAACTATACTAATTACAATTTAGACATTGAAAAGAAAAAATGAACATGTTCACTAATTATTAGTAATTAGTTTGATAACTTTTGAATACTGATTCATATTATTAGTATGAAGTCTTGCAGATGGTTTGGTTTTCTTGAAATCATGAACTGATCTAAGTTAGACAACAATTGAAAACCTGAAGTCACTGGACAGTTGTTTAACCCTATTACGGGACTTCACAGAACTGTACATCCAATACTATTCAACAGGTAATCGAACCAAGAACCTTCATTCTTGTGAGCAGATCCTTAACCTCTAGACTACTGAGCGGGGTTTTGATGGTGCACGAGTCTTACCGTAGTCAGATATTGAGCAACCATCTTCGGTGGGTGCCTTTCTTACACTCGATAAGGTTGAATTCCACTGGGTACTTTTTCAAACTAGAACTCCATAAATCTCCTCTTCAAGTTAGTTTACAATGAGCACACGGTGATTATTGTAGAGCATAAGAGTTCCCAAGCGAGCCTGAAGCTTCTGGTATCCATCCTTCAGCTTTCAGGTCGTTTATATCCACTGCTGAAAAGTTTCATACTAGGACGAAATACCCGTCCAGTGTACCCAAGTTTTCACTGGTTGTTTAAGTTAGATCGGTTAATGATCACAATAAAATTTATTCATATGTATCAACCGCTTTCTACTTCGGAAGATTCAACCAGAATTTGTCAAAATAAAGGATTTTTATAGTCGATATTTAGAATTTTTAAACTATATGCATAATATTGAGATGTGCTCCAAATAACTCGCATTGTGAACAGTTAAATTCCAAAGTAGCATGTTCGAATTCGTTTCTATTCATCTAAATCCAGAACTCCTTTGTGTCAACCCATGAACTAATGATGGAAAGTGAACTAATTGACTGTGTAGGACTATTTCAATTACCTTGGAAGTTCAATAAGTAATGGTAAGTTTCTGATTAAAGAAATCATAGCATGATATCAGAAAGTTCAGATGGCTTTTTCCAACTTCCACTATTTGTAGCAAAAGCAAGGTGTATGTTTGTCAACTAAGGGATAAGTATACTATTTAGCACCTTTCACCGTTTCTTTCTATAAGTGCAAAACATGCCCTTTAAAAATGATCTTTTCTAGCTATGGCACAAGCGATAGAGAATGTTGATGGGCAGACTATACTCCTCCACAAGGGCTAAAAGATGTAAATAAGTAAGTATGTTAAACAAGTTGATTTTGATGGCCTCATCTGTGACTGAGTGTCTTCGTATGTTTCATTATCCTTCTACACAAGTTGATTGTCTTGTTCAGTCAATCTCTGATGGAGTAATTGATAAACTTTCTCCATAAAGGCTAATGAGTTGAATCTATGATAATATGTGTATTAACTACTGATTGAACTAAATCTCATGATCCTAGAAAATCCATATCACTCTTAGGATTTCCTTGATCCATATTTCTCGAATCGACTTTATATCCATGAGTTCATTGATATAAATGATAACACATCACATCTTGTACGGTCCTCGGGTTGTTTTTGTCTTTTCTTTCATTTAGCTAATATAGTTTTTGACCTGAATAAAATGAAATGAAGAGATTGCATCAGCTTCCAAATCATCATGATGATTTTTGAGATTCTGATACATTTTCATCAATCCTCACTTATCATTACATATTCAAAATAATCAAAGAAGTCTCTACACTAGATTGATGTCACATACAATCTTAACAATCTTTTGGACTCTCATAGATTTATTTACTTACTTACTGACTTACTTACGCCTGTTACCCCTCGTCGAGGAGCATAGGCCGCTCACCAGCATTCTCCATACAACTCTGTCCTGAGCCTTCCTTTCCAGTTCTTTCCAGTTGCTATTCATCCTTTTCATATCGGCTTCTATTTCCCGGCGTAGTGTGTTCTTTGGCCTTCCTCTTTTCCGCTTCCCTTCCGGATTCCAAGTTAGGGATTGAGTCGTGATGCAGTTTGGTGATTTCCTTAATGTATGTCCGATCCACTTCCAACGTCTTTTCCTTATTTCCTCTTCAGCTGGAAGCTGGTTTGTCCTCTCCCATAAAACGCTGTTGCTGATAGTATCCGGCCAATGGATGTTGAGTATTTTGCGTAGACAACTGTTTATAAATACTTGTACCTTCCTGATGATGGCCGTAGTAGTTCTCCACGTTTCAGCTCCATACAGTAGGACTGTCTTGACGTTCGTATTAAAGATTCTGACCTTGAAATTGGTTGAGAGTTGTTTTGAGTTCCATATGTTCTGCAATTGTAGAAATGCTGCCCTTGCTTTGCCAATCCTTGCCTTTACATCTGCATCCGATCCTCCTTGTTTATCAACGATGCTCCCCAGGTACTTGAATGTTTCCACCTCTTCCAGAGTTTCGCCATCAAGTGTGATTGGGTCGGTGTTCTCCGTGTTGCATTTGAGAATCTTGCTTTTTCCTTTGTGAATGTGGAGGCCTATCGATGCGGAGGCTGCTGCTACATTTGCTGTCTTCATCTGCATTTGTTCATGTGTATGAGAGAGTGGGGCTAGGTCATCTGCGAAGTCCAAATCATCTAATTGATTCTGAGAAGTCCATTGTATTCCGTATTTCCCTTCAGATGTCGAATTCGTCATAATCCAGTCAATCACTAGAAGGAAGAGAAATGGGGAGAGTAGACAGCCTTGTCTGACTCCGGTCCTTACTGGAAATGCATCTGTCAGCTGTCCTCCATGCACCACTTTGCACTGTAATCCATCGTATGAGTTTTGGATAATGTTGACGATCTTCTGAGGAACTCCATAGTGTCGAAGAAGTTTCCACAATGTTCTCCTATCCACGCTGTCAAACGCCTTCTCATAGTCGATGAAGTTGACGTATAGTGATGAGTTCCACTCAACTGATTGTTCAACGATGATCCGTAGTGTCGCAATCTGGTCTGTGCACGACCGATCCTTACGGAATCCAGCCTGATGATCCCTAAGTTCGGCGTCTACATTTACTTACTTACTGACTAACTATTGGTTGACATCACTTATTTTTAGTTTGGACAATTAGATTATAGTCATATTCGGTCAGTTAGTCAGTCAGCTACAACTTAGGACCAGTGACATATATACATCGGTCCAAGTTGACATACCTCATTAGTATAACAATATGAACACCAAATTCATAGAAGTAGTTACTTCCATGGCAGTAATTTATAAAAGAAAGATTGTATATAAGGATATAATACAAGAGGAAAGGATTAGTTCTTGAAAAGAAAGGTATAAAGCAATTTTAATCTCAAAGTTTAAGGAAAGACAGAGAGTGTATACACCGACACCATTGTGACCATATGATCACACCTTATTAAGAATAAAGCATCTATTTATAGAATACATCATAGGTTGATCTTGATTAGATGACAGTTCAGAACCCAGAATCACTGAATAACTATTCCATCTTAATATGGGACCCCTCAGCCATATGTATATAAGACCCTAAAGTAGTCGACCACATAACCTTTGATCGCGCGCATAAACACCTAACTTCTAAACCATTTAATCAGTATTCAATAGTATAAATTCATAACTCGAAACATTTCTCTATATTTACAGATAAAGGAGGAAAGAGGAAGCCAGCCATAAGAACATGGTAAAGCCTATTAGACCATTCTGGAGAAGAGTGCTACATCGAAGCACGGCACAACTACCATGGCTCAATAGATGTTTTTTTCATTGCTAACGCAGAACTATTACTTTCTTTCCATTTTTCTGGGCAGACTCGCTGTTTCTTTCTTTTTCAACCAACAATAATTATACAATGATTCTTTCTAGCAATCTTAATCATTTATGGGTATGAGTAGAGTGGTTGATTAAGCTGATCCCCACCACACGTATTTTATTTATTTATTTAAACAGATAAATATTGGTACAAGAAAGCACCAGATATATATGTGCCACACAAATCTCATTTGATTTGTATGAGGGCTGTGATGTTGCCCAGGTGCCAAAACTGAAGCAGGTGATTTTCTTAGGGGGCCACACCCCGAGCGTTCTACCTAAAGATTTGATCCTCAAGACAGTGGAGCTACATCAGAAGATGCTGTCCCATGGTAGCCGGTGACCAACGATTGATTCATACGCCATTTGTTCCCTCAGGATACTGGAGCCAGCCCATATGCACCATTGGTTTAGAATCAGGGTTTTCCAACTCCACTAGGTGGGTTGGCCGTGTCCACCAGTCCGGTTAAAGCGCCGAACATTCGCTTTTCGTCCTGTCAATTTCGTAAACAAAAGTAATACCGCGAGAAGGCAGTGAATAGGACTTCCCTGGCAGGGGCTATATACGCATGGCTGTGTGAGAGC